ACTAAGCAATGTTAGCATGGCTTTTGTCAGAGGTAGATATGTCCATCAGGTCTGATTGAACATTGAAGAGATGACTAAGTGTATAGATGAGGGTAGTGCAGTTGACATAGTCTACACAGACTTCAGTAATGCTTTTGATAAAGTGTTACATGGGAGACTGGTCAAGAAGGTGAAAGTCCATGGGCTTCAGAACAATTTGGTAAATTGGACACAAAATTGGCATAGTGGCAGGAAGCAGAGGATGATGGGCAAAAAGCATCTTTGTGACTGGGATCCTACAATTATAGAAATCCTACAGTGCAGATAGAGGCCATTTGGCCCACTGAGTCTGCACCGACCCTCCGTACAGAATCCACGCAGACACCCCCACCCCTATCGCCCACACTTGCCATGGTCAACCCACCTAGCCTGCACATTGCTGCACACCACAGGGCAATCTCCAGCACAGCCAATCTACCTAATCTGCACATCTTTGGACTGTGGGAGGAAACTGGAGCACTTGGAGGAAATGCACACAAACAGGAAGACAGGAAGCCTGTGTCCAGTGGCGTACCACATGGTTCAGCACTGGGTCTTTTGCTGTTTGGAAGATTACACCAAGAATTTTCACTGTCTCCAACCTGCATTCTTCACCAATCTGGAATGCTAACCTAATACCTTCGTGATTTATACACCCTAAACATTGACAGATTTTTCCATGTCTTCTCCATCTTAAATTTTTACTGCATCATTGCTTCTACTATATCCAAATCTAAATGATATTTTGTTAAACTGCTCTTTCTGAAAATGACACTGATACAATGTATTCTCACCTATTGACAGTGCTGTAACGGGATGGTCAACGTCCTGCTGGTTAACATTGATTAGAAACTGAACTGCAATATCTATACAAACACATGGGTAGGTCAGAAGCTAAGAAGCCTGCAGTGCATAACTCATCTCCTGACTCCCCAAAGCCTGTCCACCACTTACAAGGCATAAACCAGGAATGTGACGGAGTACAACCCACTTGCCTCAAATGAGTTCAATTCAATTACATTCAAGCAGCTTGATACCATCAGGACAAAGCAACCTGCTTAACCAACACATCTGCAAAAATTCAATCCCTCTCCAGGAGGGAACAGCAGCAGCAATGTGTCCCATATACAGGATGCACAGCAGAAATCCACCAAGGCAACTTAGACAACAGCTTCCAACTACCATTCAGAAGGCCGGGGTGTAGCATAGGTACATGGAAAGTACAAGTTCCCCTCCAAACCACTCATCATCCTGACTTGATGTGGCTCTTTCAATGGCTTTAGATCAAAATCCTGGAATGCCCTCCCTACTGTGATTGTTTACACCAAATATCAGTGGTTCAAGGAGGCAGCTCACCATCACCTTCCCAAAGGGAAGTAGATATGGGCAATAAATGCTGGTCTAGTCAGCAGTGGTACATCCCACAAATAAAAACTCCAAGTATTTCAGTCTTTCCCAACGGTTAATAGGGCCCACTTCACACCTTACTAGGGGATTTTGGGTTACTTTTATAATGACCATTTCATTTTCATATACTTTCTTGCCACGTTCTTTTCATGCTCGACATCTTTCTTAATCTATTCTAGCTGACCAGGACCTCTTCAACTTTCACCTAAATGTACCACACACCCTCTCTTATTTAATCATTATTTCTCACTCCCTTAACATCCAAGCAGCCCAGTTCCTTGCTCCCCTTTCATCTTTGTTCAAATGTACCTAACTTGTTTGTCCATGTTCATTACATTTCAATCACTGAGAAGTATAGTCCACAACTAAGCCCTTTCTTTGCTGATATTCAATGGTGTCTACCCTTGCTGTATAGTGTTTGGCATTGATTAGTTCATAGTGTATAACAACTAATGATCAGATATCAAGTCTATCCTTTTCATGACTATCCCTTCTCGACTCACGTCATTGATTCCTTTTCAGTTTTGTTCTCCTATTAACTTTTCTACTTCAGGAGTGCATTTGTGTAGTTTTTGCTGGTGTAATGCCATGCCTGTGTGTGAGCAGTATTGTGCACGAGTATGAGGCTGCATTTCCAGGTTCCAGCACATTGAATCAAAAACAAGGAACACATTAAATGTGAATCAGAGATAGTAGGAACTGCAGATGCTGGAGAATTGTGTTGTACAATGTGTAAGGCAACACCAGCACCATCACATGGTAAGAATGAGGTACTGCAGCACTGAAAACATCCTCAAGCGAGCATTTCTTTATGCAGCATAAATAATGAAAAAGATCATTTTCCTATACAACACAAGGAAGACTCGAATAGTGTTCAATTTAATCAAATAGCCAAGTTTAAATAAGATGAAAGTAACCAGATCAATGTTTAAATCAACTTTGTACCCAACTCTTTCAGGAGTAATGCTCAGAACAAGATAATTGACAAGAAAATATTGTTCTGGGGAAGTGGGAAGTGGGGATATTTGGACTATTTCCAAAGTGGAGGAACTAAAGTTTTAATTTTAAAATGTAGAATTCTAAGAGATGTTCTTCAAAGTTTTGAAGAGATCTGATAAAAGACGATTTTTTTCTATTCATCCAATAATTGGAAAGATAGTGGTACGCAGACAGTTGTCCTGGGAGTTCTCAGTATCGACTCCTGACCCCATGAAGTCTCATGGCGTCAAGCCAAACATGGACAAAGAATCCTCCTGCTGATGACCAGCTACCGCACCACATCCCTCACAGAAAAAGAAAAATTACCGACTGCAGTATCGATTCTCCTCCCTGTTGAACATCTATTGGGAGGATCACAGAGTGGCAAGGGAAAAGAACCTACTTTGGGTGTGAGAATCCAATGTGGGTCACCAAAGGTGGTTTAGTATCACTACTCATTAAGCTAGTCGATCCTAAAAGTGCTAGATTGAGTCTGCGGTAGGTGGTGAGGAAACATGAGGTGACTTTACCTTCACCAATCTACTTGTCACAGATAGATTTCTCCATTACAGTATTGATAGAAGCAAACAATGCAGAGTCTGTGAAGGTTAAATCCCATTTTTGTACTGAAGCTCAAAACTCAGCAGCAGAATTGTATTCCAACACAGTCTGTAATGTCATGGCCTGGCTTATCCCACACTGTACAATAGCCATCAAGCCAGGTGATCAACCCAGTTTCAATGAAAAGTGCAAGAAGGCATGCCAGAACAACATCAGACACACTTAAAATGGATGTGTTAATTTGATTAAGATACCATCTAGAAAAGACAAGGACAGTAAGTACATGTGAATACCACCACCTGTAAGATCCCCTCCAAGCCAAACACCATCCTGACTTAGAACTACAGCAAACTTTGTTTTAACTGGCACCTAACGAACATGTACCCTTCATAAACCAGCAAAAATTATATCCCTAAAATACAAGAAGTTTACTGTATTATCACGATCTCTATGATGTCCAAGTAGTCAGTTGAGGGTGAAAGTGAGAAGGTTCTCTGCCAGTAAGTATTATCTAAGTTATTATTTAAGTGATTTATGTTTTAAATAAAATAGAATAGTAACATGTATACCTTCTGCATTATGTTTCTATTCCTTAGCACGTGTTTTTAACGTTGATGTGGTCCTGCTGATGAACCGGAATATTTGATTAACTGGTACAGTCCTGGTGCCAGAGGTGCCAGTTAGTAAAGGTTTTGCTGTGTATCATTTCCTGGCTACCACTGAGTCAAAATTCTGGGACTCCCTCTCTAACAATGCTGTAGGTCTACCAACAACCTAAGGTCTGCAACATATCAAGAAGGCAGCACACTATCATCTTCTCAAGAGTCATTAAGGATGAGCAATAAATGCTGCCTAACCAACGATGACCACATCCCAATGAAACAATAAAGGCCAAATGATTTAAAATGACAAGTGAAACAAAGAATCCGGAGATATTTTATGAGGTAGACTTGACAAATAAAACATTTTATCATGGGAAGTAGTTGGGATGTAGAACATCTTTTAAAATAGAAGGTTATATATTCAGTGAACACTGGACATTAATTTCAGGAAAAATGATGGGTCGAATGACCTTTACTGTGCTGCAATCTTCTCTGGTTCTAACTTTATTTTCCAGACTGGTAGCTGGTGCAATGTTGTACCGGTTGCATGGATAAGTGTTTTTACATTGCTCTGATACAGAGCAGCAGTCAAAATAAATAAAAGAAAATAGCATGAAAGTGAGATGTCACTCAGTGGGAATGTGACTACCTTCAAAAACAGAAGTTGCTGGAAGAGTTCAGCAGGTCTGGCAGCATCGGAGGAAGGGTCACTGGACACGAAACATTAACTCTGATTTTCTCTTCACAGATGCTGCCAGACCTGCTGAGCTTTTCCAGCACCTTCTGTTTTTGTTCCTGATTTACAGCATCCACAGTTCTTTCTGATTTTTATGGCTACCTTCATGACCAGTACAATGAACAAAATTGGAAAAGCAGAATTCAAGATTCCCTCCTATAAATCTCATATACACAGAAAAAGTTAACCATGCTGTCCATGCATACTGTTACGGATGAAGTTTTAAAATAAACATTTTGAAACCGTACACAGTTAATTGAGAAAAGTATTGTTGTCTTTAGTTTTTACAAACCTGTTAAAAGGATAATGCCACCTTCAGCCTACAACTATTCTGGGGACATTTCTAGGCAAAGAAATACCTGTACACTTTATTACACCATAGTTAAAAATTAGAGTAACATTCTATCATTTGTTATGTGGGATTAGAAAATTAATGGCAAAGCTTCCAAAATGTTTTGCCCTTGCCATATCAACACACTGCTTTCAAAAATTGTGCTGATTCTCATGGATGCTCTGAGACAGATGCGACATTACCTTGTTTCAAATTAATTATTCATCGAAGACAAGATGAGAAAAATAAAACTCAAAACATGCTTTTTAGAAATTTGCCTTAAGCTGTATTCTCAGTTTGCTTCAATGCCCACATTCCCCATATCGTTATTGGCAAGAATATTGTTAGCACTTAGACTCAAGGATATTATTGGAGCTCCAACAAAGAGAAGACACTTCCTGCTCAGAGTCATGAGGGTTAAAGTGTGTCTCTGGGGAGAATGAAAGTAAATTCCAGATCTGGATGCAATCTCCTGCCGATACCAGCTTCAGGGTTTCCTCCATGGCTCTATAAAACACCAAATCAAAATCATCTATTCATTGAAGCAGTCTTTATGCCAAGCTATGTCTACAGTCAGACAATATCACGTATAAAAAAAAAAGGAAACATGGAGGTAGAATCCCTTCATTTCCAGCTGCAGCAAAATGAGGACAGATTTATAGTACAGGATTTACATTTCAATTGTTCAGATTTTATAAGGTTAGTATTTCAAATAGACTGTTAGTTTATATAAAGCTCCAGTTGGAATCCTGTTTGGACAACCATGTTCACGTGTAGTTTTCACACTTTAGCAGGTATATTAGCCTTGGCTGGGGTGCAACACAGATTTGCCAGAACAATTCCAGGTGTGAAAAGGTCAAATTAAAATCAAGTAGCATTGATTTCGATGTAGAAGACGAAAGTGATATATTGTGGTCATTAAGATGATTAAAAGGATTTTTTAAAAAATTCATTCACGAGATGAGGGCGTCGCTGGCCAGGCAGCATTTATTGCCCATCCCTAATTGCCCAGAGGGCAGTTAAAATTAACCGTATAGATGTTGGGAGAAATTGTTCCCTCTGATGGGAGAGGAAAGACAGAAAGCAGTATAACCTGAACTTAAACCTAACCATTCAGGGGTGACATCTGTAATGCTTTCATTCCATAATGATATTGGTTTAAAACTTAGGATTGACTTCAAGGTCAGACTATTTGTAGTAAGAGTTACAGCAACAATGTAAACTATAGAACAGTCATGATCTAAATAAATGGTAGAACAGGCTGAACGGCCTGTTAGATTAAAACCTTAACCTCCTTCACAAGGTATTCTCAAAGGCAGAACTCTCCACATGGAGTGCCTCAATTATTGTTCACACCCAGCTAGTTCAATCTCTTCCGAGACCACACTCTACTGCATTCCCGAAGCCAGTCCCAAGAATCTACTCAGGGCACCATTCGAGTTTTTTGGCAGACTGCTTGTTTCACCAAGCTGACAAACCCTAGGATTTTTTGTGGAGTCCCATTACTTCTCAGCTTCACTAATCAAAAGCTGCCTATGGCCTTTCTTCACCCTGACATATAGAGTCAGAGTTGTACAGTACAGAAACAGACCCTTCAGTCCAACTCATCCATACCAACAAGATATCCTAAATTAATCCAATCCCATTTGCCAGCATTTGGCTCAGATCCCTCTAAACCCTTTGTATTCATGTACCCATCCAGATGCTTTTTAAATGTTGTAATTGTACCAGCCTCCACCACTTCCTTGGGCAACTCACTCTGTACAAGTACCACCCTCTGTGTAAAAATGTTGCCTCTTGGGTCCCTTTTAAATCTTTCCCCTCTCACCTTAAACCTATGCTTTCTAGGTTTGGATTCCCCTACACTGGGCTATTCACCCTATCCATGCCCCTCATGATTTTATAAACCTGTAGCTGAACTACGAATAGTCTCCAAGTGCTCTGGAGAAGTCACAGATCTTTTCCAAGCGCTACCTACACAAAGCCTGCTACATTAGTATATTTTCAGTCCATGACTCTTCCCCTGCTGCTGACCAACTGACTACAGCTCGTGAGCTCCTTTCATGCACGCGCCACCGCCACCACCACCACCAAACTCTTTTCTACACAGCTTAAAAATAAAACCAGAACTGGAACATTAATTAGGCTACATTTACTTGCCATTATTCCCCCTGCCCCACCCCAGAATTCTAAGGTATATCAGGGACTGCAATCCTCAGCCTCCAAACCCAAGCCCCTCTAACACCGACAGTCAGTAACTTGGGTGCTCATTGCTGATCAAACAGGTTTATCAAGTTAATGTGAAAAAGAGTAGGCCCCCTTTTTTGTTGTTAGGAAGACTCCACATTGGCCCAGTGCACTCATGTTTTTGGGGAACAATTTTGCCAGTCTTCCAGGCTTAAAAAAATCTTCCTCTGTCCTAAATTGAAATAAATATGAGAAAAACAACGTAACCATTTTGCATGTGATCAATGCCAAAACTGCTACTTTCTAACAGACACTTTGTTTACTTTGTTACTTGAACACTATACGCAATGGCATGAAATGGATTGTCAAACCTTTTCCTACCGTAGAGACAGAGTCACGTAGCACAGAAATAGACCCTTCAATCCCGATCAAGTTTACCAAACTAAACTAATCTCACTTGCCTATGTTTGGCCCATATCCCTTTAAACTTTTCCTATTCGTGTACCTGTCCAAATATTTTTAAATGTTGTATCTTCAGTTTACTCCCTTGATATTACAATAAAGACTATTTCAAGAGAATCCCAAGAGTGGTGTAGAATTAATTTCTGTCCTCTCATAACCAACAAAATAATTCATGGGAACTGAAGACTTAGAGAACTGACAGGTGTTGTCACTAATAAGAACCAAAATCTAACATGATTTAACATCTCAGGTTCCAGAAATTCCAAATCTGGGGTTTGAGATCTCCCATTAAATCAGCAGGTTCTATGGCCATTGAGAAAAGCCCACACAATCTTCAGAAAATAACCTCCCAAACCTGTAAATGTTTAACATTCAGTTGAAATGTGTTGGGAACATAGAAACAAAAACATTTCCCTTTCCATGCTGTATAAGATCAGAGACTTTATAATTGGTTTTACATGGACTCTTCCTCATCCTTTCAGTCTTCCAAGGGAATGTTTAAGAAAGTAACCAAAATGCTTAGTAAAGCAAAACTGCAACATTTTTGTTACTGATTTGTCACCACTTGCTTTATATAAAAAGGTAAAATGTGAAAAGTCACCATAGTCCTACTGGACCATAAGGTTTCTCTCTGGTTGTGGTTTAACATGAGAGCCACGTCAAGGTTGAGAAGAAGAGTCCTTCATAGCAGCCTCTTGAACCCAGTGTTAGCATTACACTGCATTGCAAACCAGCCATCTGAACTAACAAACTCCTGTAATATGACACTTCCAAGATTCTAGCCAACACTGACTAAAAGAGTTTCAGAGATAATAGGAACTGCAGATGCTGGAGAATCTGAGATAACAAGGTGTGGAGCTGGATGAACACAGCAGGCCCAGCAGCATCAGAGGAGCAGGAAGGCTGACGTTTCAGGTCTAGGCCCGAAATGTCAGCCTTCCTGCTCGGCCTGCTGTGTTCATCCAGCTGTACACCTTGTTATCTCAGACTAAAAGAGATTTGTTTTGGTTATGGGTTACTTCCCTTCGTCACTCAAATCATTCTTGTTCTGAAGCAAACTTCTGCCATCTTTTAACGGACACAAGATTGTTTCATTTGAGCCTATGATTCCCCCTGGCTTTAGTTCTCCAGTGAGAGGAAATGACCTCCCAGCATCTAATCTGTCAAACTGTTCAAGAACATTGGGACAGATTTTCTGGGAGCGGCAATCTTACAGGTTGGGCAGAAGGATGTTGGAGGTCAGTTTGACTAAGGGGGTTCAGGTCAGATCTGATGGTGGGTGCAGGGATGGTCAAGTCTGGTGGCAGGAAGGGTCAGGAAAGTTGCATCATGTCTGATTCAGGAGGTGGAGGGGCGCAAATAGAAGAATTGTGAGGTCCTGAAGGAAGGCAAAGGGGATTGAGTCCTGGTAATGGGATCAGGTTAGGGTCTGATAGTTGGGGGGGGGGGGGGGGGGAAGAGAAGGTGTTGGTCTGAGGGAGTGATGCACTCAGGGCTGCACAACGTAAGAATGGGATCAGATTGTCAGTTAGTCAGGGATTAGACTATGTATTTAAGTGTCTAACTTTCCCTGGGGAATTCTGGTGCTGTCAGAAAAGATTTACAAGGGCGTCGTTGAGGTTGGAGGGTTTGAGCTACAAAGGAGAGGCTGAATAGTTTAGGGCTATTTTCCCTGGAGCATCAGAGGCGGAGGGGTTTATAAAATCGTGAGGAACATGGATAGGGTGAATAACCAACGTCTTTTCCCCAGGATAGGGGAGTCCAAAACTAGACAGCACAGGTTTAAGGCAAGAGGGGAAAGATTTAAAGGGCAATTTTTTTCATGCAGAGAGTGATGCATGTGTGGAAGGAGGTGCCAGAGGAAGTAGTGGCGACTGGTAAAATTACTACATTTAAGAAGCATCTGGATGGGTAAACGAATAGGAAGGGTTTAGAGGGATACAGACTAAATGCTGGAAAATGGGACTAGATTAATTTAGGAAGTCTGGTCAGCACGAACAAGATGGACCAAAGAGTCTGTTTCCATGCTGCATAATGCTATGCCTATTTTACTTAATTTATTAGGAGGGTTCTGAAGTCTCCAACTTAAAATTCAATTTCCAGGCAATTCCGTTGTATTGTGCTACAATGGTGATTGCACAGGATCTCCAAGTGGAATTCCAGTCTATGCTGGAAATAATGGCTGTCTGGCCATCAGAAAAATCTGTTCCTTTTACACGTCTCATTAAAATCATCTCTCATTCTTCAAAACTGCAGGGAATATTACTCTCCTGCTTCAGGATGCCATAACCTCACTTCTCCACTGTGGAGAAACAAGGGCTTCACTCAACACATTTTCACCGAACTCAAGGGGGATATAGTATTTGAATTTAAGGCTGGTTAATTTCATTTGGTTTGTAATTCCGTACTTAATACTGGTGGAATACTACAAGTGGAACAACCTGCTGTCTTTCAAATTTACTGGTGGAAGGAAATTTAAAGCTTCAACTTTGCAAAACAAACAAAGTCATTAACGGTAAATAAAATATTCGGAACTCTAAAGCTTCCATCTGCTAGTAGTTCCGCTTAAACAGTATGCTTTTCTATTTAATCCATGGGCAAATTCTCCCCAGTTATTTGCCGTCCTCGCCTAGCTCTGATTGCTATTTGTCACGTTCAGTACAACCGTCCCCAAATCAACAAATTCATTCCAGAATTTCTGGTGTAGGAATGCCGCAACAGGTAAACATTCCCGTACACCGAGAATACACTAACCCCAAGAAAAAGATTCAAACGGCAAAAGATTTAAATTAAACCTAAAAGAAAAATAAAATGACCCAGAGGTGACTGACTTTTCCTACAGAAGAAAAATACCCCAGGGCCATTCTTTTAAAACGTCTCGTCAACCAACATGCAAACAGTTCCAAAATAAACATCACTTTGCAAAAAAAAAACTTCATCTACGGCAACATTATATTAAAAATTACAAACTTTGCTTCACAATTTATCGACGCTGTGCAAGGAACAATTCTCCAGGACTTTTGTTGATGCTGTTTGGCCCTAAGCTCTCACACTTTCTGCCGGCTGTAGCTCTAGCGGTTCCAAAACGATCCTAGGAAGTTTCCTTCTGGTTCAGATAGAAAGCGGAGTGAAAAACCACTCTTAATAAGAGCGGTCTTGGAAAAAGGGGAGAAGAATTGACTACGAACCTTCACTAACTGCACACCACGTCCCCCCTAAAGCAGTGATTCAGGTAATCAGTACTGACCACACCCCAGCTACC